TGTTGTAATTGACTGATTGATGCATTGCTGGGACATTATGATATGAAAACAGATTTGAATGAGCTTACCGTGCAAATAAGGCACCGTTTGAGATATTTGTGGGTATCATCACTAGAAAACCTCACGAGACTACAACTCATCCATGGGTAACCTAGTGGTCTAAAGGCTTGTTGCAAAAGCTAACTGCAACCATGATTCCCACGAAAACGGCTTTTTAGTTTTGTATTGCTAAGAGACTAGCAATATGTAAGTTTAGGGGTATGATGAGTGCTGAATATTACATATTCGAGCCCATAAATATACATATGTTAAGACCTTAAGTGATACTTCTATTTAGTTTTAGACTGATTTATGTTTATTTCGTGTTTGTAGGTATTTTCCCAAAGAAATGGTTAAAACCGGGACTTTAAGATGAAAAAACTGACATTGAAGCTTACAGAGTCGTTGCCGATCATCCGAAGCAAGCCAAGAGTCAAAATGGTGAAAATTGAAAAAATTCAAGTGCCAAGGCTCAAGCCTCAATTCTATAGCTCGAGCATAACAGAAAAAAAAAAAAAAAAACAAGAAAATCCATTAAGGCAGTAAAGCTCAAGCCCTGATCTTTAGAGCTCATGCCCAACCTCAGGGTACTCGAGCCTTTGCCAAAGAACTTGAGCATATTAGGCGTTAGAATGTGAAAAGTTGTTTCAGAAAAACCAAACTTCCAGGACCCCGTGCCAGGACTTAAGGGATGGAGTGCCTTTCCAAAGAGCTCGAGCCCTAAGGCTCGAGCACCATGAAGGAAGGATCGAGCAATGTTAAAGAAGAAATCCAAAAATATTCTAAATATTAATGAAAAAGGCGCTTCGAAAAAGATTTGAAGAAATTTGACTAAATATAAATGTTAGGGCTCGAGCCCTGTTCCTGAAAGCTCGAGCCCAAGCTTCTAAGCTCGAGCCCTTGATGATAAGTCAGACTTTCTAGATGCGGGATTTGTCTTATTTAAGTCCTATTTCATCCAACATGGGCCAGATAACACTAGAAGACCTGAAGCCCGTCAGAACCTTAATAAAAGTTAATTCTTCTATAAAATGAGGCACAAGGCCATAAAAAAAACTCTCTCGATTCATTCTGAATTCTCTTATATTGTGGTGGCGGCTTTTAGTTTTGTAGTGCTAGAAGATGAAGATCCTGAGAAAAGAATTGTAGTCTGTGACGATGAAGACCACAATAATACAGATGATATCTTGCGTCGTCATGATTAACTAATTCCTCTCGTAAGGCATTGATGTAACCCGATCTAAGTACTATAGTTTGATTGATCTAACTTTGGGAATTTAATAATTTATATATTTTGATTACATGATTATGAGCAATTGAGTCACATCAATTGGTATTTTAATGAAATAATAGTTTTTAAGTAATTATTATTGTCTTAGATATAATTGTTCTTAAATTATTCTCAACTCATTATTAATGGACGAGATGGCTGCATAACGGCATCTTGATATTAATTATGAAGTTCATGCAATGGTGTTCTTATTGGGAAGCGTGCAAGTTTTAAAGATTCTCTGAGGGATTTTCGTGCATAGATCTTGATTGATCACATAGAGACAAGTTTTATGTAAAAATAAAATATGATGTATCATTCAATTAATAGATTGAATACTTACATCAAAGATTTGAGTAAACCTTTAAATCTTTCCTCTAAAGTGAATGTTCTCACTTATTGTAGATCCCTTAGCAAGATCATTTCTCCTTCTTCTTGATAGCAATCTTCCCCTAAGGAATCACCAATATACCTCGATAAATGACCTTGGCCTATGGGTGAGAATCCTTTAGGCTTACTATTTTCTTGGCTACTATAAATTAATAATTGGTCTGATCCATTAAACCATGGACCTAATTCAATTAATTCATAAATTATTTTATATTCCACTAAAAGAAATTAATTGCACTTTAATTAAATAGTAAATAACCTTTAAGTCAATGTTGCACTTTGACCCCTCTATGCATAATTATTTATCAGATTATAAAGCTATCAATCCAACAACATAATTAATATAATTATTTTGTTACCTATGATTATTTCCGGCTTCATCACAATAAAAGTTTGTTTGACAAAAATAATAATTTACTAAATAAATATATAGAAAGCATTTTTTCTAAAACATATGAAGGCCTTTGAATTTAATTTGTGATCAACCATAATCAATATAAAATAAATACAAGTAGCACTAGCCAAAGTATTGAGAATATAACCCTCTAACTATTAATTACATAACTACCCAAAGTGCCGATCTATGGATCCCGAAGTATCCGCCGAACAAATCAAAGTAATTATTAATTAATAAAAGAGTCTATACTTCTCTCATGCTTGAGAGTCAAAAGCCATGTCTATGATAGAGAGCAATTGCACACGATGGCTCTCGCAATATATCTCAACCTATCATGGACTCGATTCAAGTCTTAGTTAATTAAATGTCCATCCATAATTATCGACTATGAACAATTTATAGTTACTATTTATATTCATGTATCAATTGCCATCACATACATATATAAATATATCTTGTAATCAAGTGGACACTATCAATTTGATAATGAATCTAAACATAATACATTGAATTCACCAATTATATAAATCATAAATATTTCAGATATATCAGGAACATATGTCACTATAATTCAAATAGGAATTTGCTATGCTAGGGTATATAAATCCCAGCAATTCTAACGTTTTTCATAAACGAATATTTTCTTAGGTTATGCTTAGGAAATATGAATTATACTACAAAATTAGTTAGAAGTAGGTAGGTGGATAGTTCATGCTAACCGCAGATAGGTTATAATTAATTAAAATTCATGAAACATCTTTCTTTAATACCGAATTAAATGAATGTTATTGAGTTTAATTCATAAGATATATATTTTGTTGAAATCCCATGGTTGAACAGTTGACCATAGTAGAAGGTTTGTGGTGAAGTCAAGCCCTAAGACTCTTTCTCTTTGATCTATTTACCTTAATTTAGTTTTATTTTATTTTATGTTCGTGACAAACAACCAATCAAAACATCTTTTATCTCTGAATCAAAATCGGATTAATTGGAAATAAAATGGTAATCACTCATCTCTCTATGGGATCGACACCCTCTATATAGTCCTATCCTACAAAGATTTGTACGATTGTGAGTGGTATATTTTGACACACATCACACATCATTTTTTCTGCACAACTCACATGAATTAGAGAATAAATGAGCAAGAGTTAAAGCAATGGGTCAGAGGAAATGATTAGTACATCAGTGTCTTAGCAAAGCTGATCAAGGATTATGTTGGTTTAGAGTGGTAAGTGTGGGCATGGCTCTACATCTTAAACGCAGTGTGAGTCTGGTCTTGCTCTTCAGAGTGAGGTTCAAGAGCGATTTAGTAAGGAATTGTCTATCCTAGATGCAAGTGTGAACCTGAGTCTTATTTTCAGAGTGAGAGTCAAGGTGCGATTTAGCAGGGAAAAGGTGGCCTCGTACAGCTCTTAGGACTCAAATAGAGCAGATAACATTGATAGTTTGAAGGGAAAAAAAAAAACATAAAGTGTGGAAAAAAAAAAAGTAACCTCACATTCTGATCACTTAGTTGCTCACATGAGTCTAATCATGGCTACAATCTAATCCCTTCCTTCGTCAAAACATTAACTCTGACGGGGTTCCTGTATAAAATGATAATACATCAACGGGTCATCCCAATGGGAGAATGTGAACCCACGAGAAGTGAGGACCCGAAATCAACAAGGCCCATGAATGAATGATTGGTACGGCAAATTTGAGGCAAAAACCTCAGGCTAGTGCCTTAAGGACATCGCCATCTAAATAAACCGTGGTCAGATGTATTTATATGGATGAAGATAATTCATTAAGCTCCTTAATGGTTGTCTGATCACTTAATGTAAAGAAACTCATTTTCATACTCAAAAAGGATGATGAACTTCTTGGTCTTGACATGCCATATCTTAATGTAATGGGTACTTTTATGTATTTGCAAATTGCACAGGGCCTAACATTGTTTTTTCAGTCAACTTATTAGCAAGATACAATTTTACATCAACTCGTAGACATTGGAATAGAATCATGCATATATTGTGTTATCTTCGTGAAATAATTGATATGAGATTGTTTTATTCAAATGAATCAAAATCTGAGTTAATTAGACATGGAGATGTTGGTTATCTATTATACCACATAAAACTTGATCACAAACAGGATATACCTTTACATATGGCAACACTGCTATCTCATAACGATTTATGAAATAGATAATAACTGCAACTTATTCAAATTACTCTAAGATACTCACAACTCATAAGAAAGCAGGGAATGCATTTAGTTAAGAGATCCATGATCTAACATATTCGAGAAACATGTGGTATGTCCTCAATAAAAGATACCTCAACCGTGTTATATAAAGATAATATTGTGTGCCTTGTACAGATTAAAGGGGTTATATCAAAGGTGGTAGAACTAAGAACATCTCACCAAATTTCTTTTATACATAAACTCCATAAAAATGGTTATTTTGATTCAATAGATACGTTTGTGTGAGAATTTGGCAGACTTATTCACTGTAGTACTGCAAATACAACATTCAAGAAGTTGGTACATAATATTATGATGCGATAACTTAATGACCTTAATTTCATAATGAAATACTACAACAACTGTAATTATGAGTGGGAGAAATTAATTAGAAAGGTATTGACATATATTGTACTCTTTTTTTAGTTAAAATTTTTTTCCAATTGAGATTTTCTAATAACATTTTAATGAGTCACTTTTAACCATGCAATATCATTTTTAGAGACACAATGATATTTTACTTTCTTTCCTTCCCTAAGATTTTACTCCACTAAATTTTTCTTAACAAGGTTTTAAGAGGCCTCATTTATATGGACATCATGTATCCACGTGTCGGGAGGCTATGGTGAGGACGTACGTTGTATGGTGAGACCTCTTTGGTCTAATGAAATTGAAAGGAAACTCTCCCTCATGAAAAGTTAATAACGTGCAGCAGCACCTTCAGCTACCTCCCAAAAAATTAATGAATATATAAATCGAGTAGCATCACTACAATGGTCAACGGTCTTTGATGGTTTTTTCTTTTTGAGCTACCAACTATACCTCAGAATTTCTCATCTGTTAAGAGAAGAGAAGATCTAATGGTGAAGTCAGAGGACGAGGAGGGCGTGGGATTGGAGTACTGGCTTCAATGGCAAGTCCTTGTGTGTGCTCTCATATTTGTTGTCCCAGCAGTTGTAGCTCTGATTCTCATCAAGAAGAAGAGAGAGCCTCTGAGCTCTGCTCATCTGTGGGTCCCATGCTGGAGAAACCTCAATCCCCTTTGGCTCCTCTTCTACAGAGCTTTTGCTTTCACTTCCATGGCTTTCCTACTCTTTCAGACCGTCTCCATCTTTGGTGTCTTTGTCTTCCTTTTCTACACTCAGTAAGTAGATTCATTTATTCCCAAGGACCCTTCAGTTCACAGGAAAATAAATAATTAATCAATTCAAATCTTATACTTCAAAATAAATTTATTTTATTTTATTTTATTTTATTTTTGCAACTTACATCTTTGGTAAAGTAAGCCTTCTTAGAAATATGTATTTGATGCTATTTTTTAATTTTTTTCTTAGTTCAGATTTTTTAATTTTAAATGATGGGATGGATCTGTGTGCAGGTGGAGTTTTGCATTGGTGATGGTCTACTTTGCTGTATGTTGATTCCTTCTACAAGCCCTGGTTTTTCACTTTACAAAAACATTATTGGATTAATGTTTGAGTTTTGAATTTTAAATCTCATTCTTATATATATATATATATATATATATATATATATATATATATTCTGGATTAATGTAGGTTGGAACAGCTATATCTGCTCGTGGATGCTGGCGGAACTCCTGCTCAAAGAAAACACTTCCCAAAAATGGGGAGAGTGATGAGTTTATGAAAAAGGATTTGGGAGATAGTATCAAATTGCAAAGCAATTATGAACAAGAGGAAAATGAGCATAAAGCAGGGTTTTGGGAGTATCTTATGCAAGCTATTTATCAGGTTAATCCCTTTATACAACTTGCAATATGTATTTACATGGTGTTTAATATATATATATAGATATATATAGGCATTTGACTTGTTTTGAAGCACGTCCAACCAAAAATGTAGTGGGACACATATTTCATATAGTATGTGTTTGCCCTTTTCAAAACGTACATTTTGGAAAGTTGATTCTAATTAATCACATTTGAACAGACTAGTGCAGGTGCTGCTGTCCTAACGGACATTGTGTTTTGGTGTATTCTAGTCCCATTTCTGCTCGGTGAAAATTTTCACCTCACCCTGGTAAGTCCTCATGTTCATCTCGTGAGAATCTCTGTTTTACACTACTACACACATATATATATATATAGAGAGAGAGATATATATATATACCTTGCTTTCTTTAAAAGAACCTAAAACCTTACTGTATTTGTTTTTTTTTTTTTTTTTTTTTTATCTCATTTCTCTGGATTATTATATGAGTCTAGTGTTTCTAATTAAGCTCTCTCTTCTGCTTGGAACATCTGTACATCTTTAATTACTTTTAAGTATCAGTTGTACCATTTATTAGCTTTTGCCCAAATCCATATATATATATATATATATAGATATATATATATAGTGGGAAGTTGTTCCATTTTGTGCAGTGATCGTCAATCCGGCATTACCCAGTGGGTAGACAAAAATTTATCATCAATCTCCTGCTAAGCTGGTAAAAAAAACTAAAACCAGCCTATGCAGGTGTGTGTGCGCGCGCGCGCATTTGTGAATTCATATTATGAAGATTAATTTCTTACCCCTTTTTCCTCACTTTAAACATTTTACAGGTAACTTAATATAAATTGAAAGTTCAATTTACATTCACTTTATTACTTTAATATTGATCTCTTCTACTTTTTAACTATATGTTGATCATACTTAATTGGCAGTTGATTGGATGCATGCATAGCCTAAATGCTGTGTTTCTACTTATTGATTCTGCTATCAATAGCCTTGTAAGTATCATTGTGGCTTAATTTGCTGGAAGATATTTTAGCCTATGTATATATGTGTGTGTATTTATAGACTGATTGATTTCGTTTGTTTGACCAAGTTTAATGTTTCAGCCATTTCCATTTAATGTTTCAGCCATTTCCTTGGTACCGGCTCACGTATTTTGTGCTATGGAGTGTTGTCTATGTTATTTTCCATTGGCTTCTTCATGCATTCGGTTTTACCAACTGGTAAATAACTCCTCCTATGCATCCTTTTAAGTTACAGTGAAGGAAAATAACTCCTCTTTTTCATCTGATTTTTCAGTTCAAGAAATGTTTAAATAAAGTTTCCAACTAATTCTTGCTTGCAGGTGGCCATATCCTTTCCTTGACCTCTCAACTCCATGGGCACCTCTGTGGTACCATGTTTACTCCATCTATATTCATTTATTTATTTACAGTCTGTTGGCTGAATATATATATATATATATATAATATCATTAACCTAATGGATGCTTTCTTGTTGCAGGTATTTAGGGTTGGGTTTAGTTCACCTCCCTTGTTATGGACTATATGTGCTGCTTATTAAAGCCAAAAACTCAATCTTCTCTAGGATGTTCCCTTATGCATTTGTGAGGTCGATCATACTAGTCAATTTCTCATTTTCTTCAATTTATAGAGATTAGCTAGGTTGATTCTTCTCCAGTGAACACCAAAAATTTGTCACAAAAAAATTTAAAATATATAAAATTAAAGGTCCATATAAAATCGATCATTGATACATTGGTTTTAGTACTTCTATTTCAGCAAATCAACAAATTGGTGATAACCTAATCCATCGTATGCAAATTAATTAAATCAGATGTCAAATTGAACAAACTTGAGTACGTTTTTGAACATAGGGTACAAGAGAATCGTCATTCAAAATTGTTTGATATATTCGGCGCTAACATGTCTTTGTACTGACAGGGATGCAGTTTTATCTGGAGGGAATTCACTGGAGAAGAAGCAAACCTAGATATATGATAGATATGCATGTTACTGGACATAAAATTTAGCTTCGATTTAATAATCTATTTGTGTGTGTGTGTGTGTATGAATGTGTACAAAATGGACATTACATTTCTAGTGGAAATGTAAAATTCACGCAAGTGAGATTATTGGATGAATATTCTAGTCTCCATGAATTATGGGATTACACTATATAAATTAAGGAGAAATATATGGGATTGCATACTGTAAGTTAGGAGTGCATAGCTAGCTGTTATAATTTTTAGATTGCTTTAATCATGGGATATGTTTCCTTTATCAGTGTACTCTATTGTATATATACATGTGATAGCAATACAAGAAAAAATGAATATTCTCTGCAATCTTTCTGGTATCAGAGCAGGAATAATTTAGTAATACTTCCCTATTTTTTTTTCTATGGCTTCTTCCTCCATCGCTACTTCAACCTCATTCACTACTATTGCTTCTTCTTTATCCAACCACATGCCTATGGCCTCTTTTACAAGTTCCTTTACTGTTCTAAATATTTTAACTCTTGTCTCTATTAAATTAACAGAAACCATCTCTTATGGGAAAGTCAGATCAAGTCATTTCTTATTGGCCAAAATTATTGGCGTTTCATTGATGGAACTCATCCTTGTCTTCCCAGTTTCTCTCGGGCATAGAATCTTCAACACATTTCTTGAATTCTGCCTATACCAGTTGGCTACCAATAGATCAAACCCTTGTAAGCATGATCAATGCCACTTTCTTTGAATCTCAAGTTGTTGGACTCTCTACTTCTCATCAGATTTGGGAATGTCTCAAACAAAATTTTTCTTAACAATCCCTTGCAAACGCAACTCATCTGCGTTTTCAATTGCTTTCCATCTCCAAAGGGATAAAACCTATTTCAGAATATCTACAACATGCTAAATCTCTAGCTAATGCTCTTGCTTCTATCAATCAACCAATCTCCAATGTAGATCTCATCACATCTGTTCTTCGCGGACTTGGTCTAGATTATTTTATGCTTGTCACAGCTCTTCTCAACTTTCCACCGCTCCCACAATACTTAGATCTTCGTGCTCGTCTCTTGTCATATAAATCTCATATTAGGCCCTCGACTCATCCAGAAACTCCGGTTAGTTATGACAATTCCTCACAAACAGCATTACTTTCTTCTCGTGGTCAAAACAACCGTAGTCGCGGTCGCACCAACAATAACTGCAGTGGTCATGGGGGTCGCTCTACATTCCATCAATATGAGTCATCCTACAACCCAAGTTGCGGGGGTTATTGTCCTGGTGGTTGTAATCGTGGTCGAGGGGGTTATGATCCAGGTGTTCTTAGACAACACCCTTCCACCACCACACCTCCTATTCAATGTCAGATTTGTTTCAAAAATGGCCACAGTGCTTCCACATGTTACCAATGATATCACAATCCTTATACAACAAAGGACGATCTCTCCTCTACCTTTGCCGGAATACAAATAGCTTCACAAGTCGATCCCCAATTGGTATCCTGATATTGGTGCCACTAACCATATGACTGGTGATCCTTGTTCTATGACAAATAAGTCTGATTATGTCGGCACCGATCAAGTTCTCTTGGGTAATGGTGATTCTCTTCCAATTGAGCACACTGGTAGTATATCCCTTCCTAATGGTTCCTCTCTTATACAACTTTCTCGTGTCCTACATGTTCCTAATATGTCTAAAAATCTTCTATCTGTTGCTCAGTTCACCAAAGATAATTCTGCTAGCTTCATCTTTTTTCCATGGGGTTTTGAAATTCGTGATTTATGAACTGGTGTTGTTTTGTTTCAGGGCTGATGTGAAAATGGTCTATACCCTATTAAGCCCTCTCATGTCTCCCAACATGCTCTCACAGCCTCTTGTTCATTATCTACAACTTGGCATCAACGTTTAGGACATCCATCCAATAAAGTGCTTCAAGTCTTGGCATCCAATAAAGCTTTAGGCTCTGCTTTTTCATAAACATCGTAGTAATGCACCATTTAATTTACTTCATTATGATGTATGGATGTCTCCTGTTTCTTCTGTTTCTGGTTTTAGATATTATGTCTTGTTTACGGATGAATATACCCGATATTCATGGATATTTCCTATGTGACATAAATCTGAAGTTTTTACTCATTTTCAACATTTTCTTGCTTTTGTTGAAAATTATTTTTCACATCTATTAAAATTTTGCAAAGTGATAATGGTAAAGAATACGAAAACACTTCATTTCATACTTTATGTGCGCAAAAAGGGATACACCATCAGTTATCATGCCCTCATACTCCACAACAAAATGGTCTTGCAGAATGAAAACATCGGCATATTTCAGAAATGGGTCGCACTTTACTTCTAGTCTCCCACCTCCCTCAAAATTTATGGGTTGAAGCCATTTGTACCACTGTATATCTAATTAACAGACTCCCAACCCAACTCCTGCACTGGTCCTCTCCATTTCAGAGGCTCTTTACCACTGATCCTGATTACCTCTCACTCCGTACCTTAGTTGTGCATGCTACCTTTATCTTGGTAATTATACAACTAACAAATTACAGCCAAGATCTGTTGCCTGTGTTTTTATTGGTTGCAGCAATCGTCATAAAGGATATCGGTGTCTGCATCCTCCTACTGGACGTGTCTATATTTCAAGGCATGTGTTATTTAATAAGGCATAATTTCAATTTGCATCCTTTCAATCATCTACTGGTCCACCCTCTACATCAGATATGGTCTTTATTCCAGTTATCTCACTGACTCCACCTGCTGCTATCTCACCACCAGAGCCATCACCAACTCAAGCACCGACCACTACAGTTCCTTCTCCGACGCCACCTTCACCACAAGATGTTGTATTTTCATCAAGTGTGGAAGCCTTCACTGACATAACCACTCAACATACTGTGTCGGAACACCCTCCATCGGCTAGACCACACTCATCATCGGATTCTTCCAATAATGTACATCCTATAACAATGAGAGCCAAGGATGGAATTTTCAAACCCAAACAACAAGTAGATTTTGCTACTCGACATCCGATTCCACAAGTTTTTTCCACCTTGCTCACCTCATCTGATGTAGAGCCATTCACTCCGCGAAATGGCGCAATGCTATGAACAAAGAATTCAAAGTTCTTGTTAATTAACGCACTTAGTCTTTTATCTCGCCACCACCTAATGTCAATATTGTTGCGTGTAAATGGGTTTTCAAGCTAAAACAACGATCTGATGGCAGTATTAAGCTCTATAAAGTGCGTCTCATTGCTAAAGGCTTTCATCAGCAAGCTGACATAGACTACGGGAGACTTTCAGCCCTGTAGTCAAGCCCACCACGATTCGCACAGTTCTTATTGTTGCTGTATCTAATATATAGCCTATTCACCAATTGGATGTCAAAAATGCCTTTCTTCATGGTTCTCTTACTAAAGAGGTGTATATGACTCAACCACCCGGGTTTGTAGATTCTAGTCGCCCTCATCACATTTGCTAACTCCATTAAGCCATTTACGGTTTAAAGCAAGCGCCTAGGGCATGGTTTCAACGGTTTAGTTATTTCATTCTCTCTTATGGTTTTGTACAAAGCAAAGCCGACAACTCCATGTTCAATTTTCATCGCAACTCCCAAGTTATGGTCCTTCTTCTCTATGTGGATGACATCATTCTTACAGGCAATACTCATTCTCTCATTCATTTCTTCACCCAAACACTAGGGGCTGAATTTGAAATTAAAGACCTCGGGCAACTTCACTATTTTTTGGGTATTGAAGTGTAACGACCCACTCCACCATATGGTATGATATTGTCCGCTTTGGGCTTAAGCCTGCACGGTTTTATTATTGGGTTTTACCCCAAAAGGCTTCATACCAATTGGAGATGACACACTTACATATAAGCACTTCACCTTTCCCTCTCCCAGGCGATGTGGGACTTATGCACCCGTAGCTCGCCAGTGTGGTAGCCTGATAGTGTCTCTTACACCCGCCCACGGCACACCCGCCCACAAGGTCATCACAATCCACCCCCCTTGGAGGCCCGACGTCCTCGTCGGCACACTTTCGGCTGGGTCAGGCTTTGATACCATTTGTAACGGCCCACTCCACTATATGGTATGATATTGTCTGCTTTGGGCGGGTGTAAGAGACACTGTCAGGCTACTACACTGGCGAGCTACGGGTGCACAAGTCCCACATCGCCTGGGAGAGGGAAAGGTGAAGTGCTTATATGTAAGTGTGTCATCTCCAATTGGTATGAGGTCTTTTGGGGTGAAGCTCAAGAACAAAACCGTGCGGGCTTAGGCCCAAAGTGGACAATATCATACCATATGGTGGAATGGGTCGTTACAAATGGTATCAGAGCCTAACCCAGTCGGAAGTGTGTCGACGAGGACGTCGGGCCTCCAAGGGGGGTGGATTGTGATGACCTTGTGGACGGGTGTGCCGTGGGTGGGTGCAAGAGACACTGTCAGGCTACCACACTGGCGAGCTATGGTGCACAAGTCTCACATCGCCTGGGAGAGGGAAAGGTTAAGTGCTTATATGTAAGTGTGTCATCTCCAATTAGTATGAGGCCTTTTGGGGTGAAGTCCAAGAACAAAACCGTGCGGGCCTAGGCCCAAAGTGGACAATATCATACCATATGGTGGAGTGGGTCATTACATGAAGTTACTCATTTTTCACAAGGGTTGTATCTCTCTCAAAATAAATACACACTGGATATCTTTCGCCGAAGTAAACTCATTGATAGCAAACCTTGTGCTACACCTATTGCTGCCAAATCTCAATTCTCTCTTTCTTCTGGAACTTTATTGGCTGATCCTACTGAGTATCGACATTTAGTTGGCTCTCTCCAATACCTTACCCTTACTCGTCCAGACATTGCCTACGTTGTCCAAAGCGTTGCTCAATTCATGAGTCAGCCTCGTACTTCTTATTTGGAAGCTGTTAAGAGAATTCTTCACTATCTTAAAGGTTCCCTTAGCCGCGGTCTTCCCATTCGCCGTTCCAACATCCCGACATGTTTGACTGCCTTTTCTGATGCTGATTGGGCCGGTTGCCCAGATACTCATCGTTCCACCACAGGTTATTGCATTTTTCTTGGCCCTAATTTAATCTCTTGGTGTGCCAAGAAACAACCGACAGTCTCCCACTCTAGTGCCAAAGTTGAATATCGTGTACTTGCCTATACTTATGCTGACACGGTTTGGATCCACAGTCTCTTGTAGGAACTTTGT